GTCTCCGTCAGTCATTTCTTGGGGAAAAGCCTAGAGGGGCACATGGATTTTGTATGTGCCCTGAAGCAGATGGAGCAAATGTGCAAGTGCTGTAATTGCAGGTACCTGCGTTAAAGTTGTTGCACACTTGCACCTTGCCCAGAAATAGGACCAGTCTGTCTAGCTTATCTCTTTGACCCCTATCCTGACTGACAGAGGGGGTAGTGGAGAGGTGAGATGTGGAGGGTTCTGCTTCGCAGGGACACAAGTTGGAGGAGGGTGAGGTAGAGGAACAAACCGCACAAGATGGGGGTCTCAAGCCGGCAAAATGCCTGCAGAACAGCTCTGTGTCCAACTGACTCCAATCGATAACAGTGTTAGACTGGGCCAGAGCTGCTGCTGCTTTAGATGATACCGATTTGTGGTCAAAACCCCCATACTTGTGCCCCAGGTCCACCACCTTGTGTAAATAGACATCGAATTACTCCTGCCTCTGAGGGTATACAGAGCAGATGACATCTCTGTATAACCCAAAGCCGAGGACGAATTCGTGGATGAAGAGTTTTTTATTAAGATGTGGGTCTCTTGTTTTGAGGATCACAGAAATATCTCCGTAATTAAAAGCTCTATTCTAAAAAGTCCTGCGAAGCAATAAGGAGAGAGACTAGGCTGACATCCTTACCATCTAGACTGTCTTTCTTAATTGAAGCGGGAACCAAATGTGCAGGGGCGATGACGTGAGAAGTGGAGGGAGTAATAGTAATGGCACTACCTTATGTGTTTGAGGGTGCAGGTGCGGGGCCGGAACGTCAGATGCATTGATAGCAATAGGGATGATGGTTTTTTTTCTTGGTCATCCTCTTATTAAGCGACTGAAGGGTAGACAAGATAGATGACAAAGTGTCTTGAATTTGTCCCAACCCGCTGGCATGGGACTCCTGAGAGCTTGCGCCGGGACTGGGATCGCTGGACTCGACCACTAAAAGCTTATAAAGTTCCGCTTTCCTAGCTGTGGCTGGGAAATGAACATTCCAATGGCATAGTTCTACCTCCAGTTTAGGTATGGTCCATGATCTCAGGGACCCAGGGGTAGCTGGAATGAGAGATTCAGCAGGTGAGCTTAGTCTAACGGGCGTGCTTGGCCTGGAAGGAGTGCCTTGGAGAGACATGTTTTCTCCTTGAAATGATTCATGCAAAATCCTATAAAGGAATTAGTAAATAAAATACTATTTTTGAAAGCCAATGGTGATTTTCGGTTCATAGAACTGGCTTGCTAGCTAGTGCCGTTGGCAAGGAACTTAACTGCCCCGTGACAGGTGAATCCCTGCTAGTTGCCAATTTGGGATAAGAGGCTCTACCTATGATTTGGCCCATGGGAGATCATGGCCACGAATCATTGTGGCGGGGTGTTGGCCTCTCGGTGACCGTAAAGAGTTTAAAAAAGGTATGGCCGTGACATGTGACACCCTAAAAAAACCTGCAGAGGGGGATATGGGGTAGATTTATCGAAACATAGGGGCCGCGTGGAAAGACCTCCGTGAGAGGTGGGGAGTAGGCCTTGCGGGAACGTGAGTAAGTAATACAATACTTACACCTAACCCTTGCAGCCAGTTCTCTATCCCTAGCAGGGGCTTGTCTTATAACAAATAACGTAATTGTTACCGTACATACCTAAGTAGACTGAAAAAAACAGAACAGAGGAAAGAAAGAGCTGGAGGGAAGATAGCTGCAAAAGATGCCTGTCTGAAGATACAGATCAATAATTACACTGTGATAAGTGATATACTGGTTTAATGCTGGTGTATATAAGACAGAACGTAAATAATATATAAATTATAGAAGATACGTGTGGGTAAAGGCGGTAGGCACAAATGGGGAGAGGAGATTAAAGAGAAATTTTATAAAATACCTGATAGGTGTAGGAATATGACTTCTGGTTCCTAATGCCTAATTAAGTAATAGTGAAAGCTGGAAAACAGTACAATAGAAGTCACTATATACTGTAACGTATTGAGGACCTAACGCATGAGTCCGATGCAAAGACAAGCCCCTAAAAGAGCACAATGTGGAAACGTAAAAGGCAGATTGAGACCTAAATATGTGAGTTTAATGAACAAAATTAGTGTAAGGAGACAAATACATGAGACAAGATTGTTGGAAGAACACCGTTCTTAGTTTTCTCCAGTAAGAATGTTAATAATTGATATAGCACCTAAAACATGTGATATAACAGAAGAGCAAAGTGAGCATCGCATAGGGGAGTTATAGCTTATGGGATATGCAGTATGCTTCTTCCGTCAGGGGTATGTTCAACACTCAGGAGAAAGGTAAAACAAGACAACTAATAGTGCTCACTGAATAAAACAGCAGTAATAAGATAAATAAAATACTACTCACAAGCGAAGAGCAGGCGAACTGCTCTTTGATGACAGTGTTGGTGGTATGATCCCCACATAGGATTTCTTGGAGTACAGGATGTTTAAAATGCCAGGTAAAAATAATGATTGGTACAAGTAGAATGACCAAAAAATCTTTAATAAGTAGAGTTGAGCGAACCCAAACTGTAAAGTTCGGGTTCGTACTGAACATTACGTTTTTTTGGACCCCGGACCCGAACACTGTCATATCACGGTATGTTCGGGTTGGAGTTCGGTGTTCAGCGATTTAATGGTGCGTTGTCAAAGGCTGCCGGGCAGCCAATCAACAGACGTTTGACTCGTGTGCCCTTAGAAGCCATCACAGCCATGCCTACCAATGGCATGGCTGCGAGTGGCCAATGCAGCATGTGACCCAGCCTCTAGATATAAGCTGGAGTCACACTAGTACATTAGTGGAGTGCACTTCATATCTGAGAGTCAAATAGAATCTTCAAATACTGCTGTCACATTGCAGTTTGAAAACTTACATTTTTTGGGGTGCTAAAAAGTACATTAGTGGCGTGCACTTCATACCTGAGAGTCAAATAGAAACGTTAAATACTGCTGTCACATTGCAGTTTTAAAACGTAGAATTTTTTTGGGTGCTAAAAATTACATCAGTGGAATGCACTTCATATTGTCAGAGTATTTATATCGGCAGACATTTTGTGCTATGATAGAAACTAAAAGTGTATATTCTGAGTCACTCTGAACAGACCAGACTCCATTTTGTTATTTCAAGTTAACAAAAAAGACACAAGATTTCTTTCTGTAAGACTGGCCTCTTTGCCAGAGCTAAGGAATGCATAGTATAAACAAGTGATAAGAAGAATATAATCAAATCTAAACCCAGACAATTGTGACAGAGAAGATTAAATAATTTAATATTTAACTGTCTATATATATAAGGTACCATTGTATGGAAAAGGGTAAACTTAGTTCATGATCTGTCATATCAGAAATTATGGCAGGAATTGCAGACGCTAAGTCTGGACAAAATTTAAGAAACCCTTTGAAATTTTAGGTTATAGCCACTATCTAGATAGGCCAAAATGACGTCAAAATAGCCACCAGGAAAAGTTAACTCTTTCCTGGATAGGTATGTTTAGTGGGACAAGACTGCCCTCTACAGACCAAATAACTAATTTGCGATCTGGAAGATAACCACACCTCTAGTGCTTCTATTGGGTTATCAACTGATGACGTACAGAGAGTCTGGCCCTTTAAAAGTTAAGACAAAGGGAAGATAGAAAAGACGAGAAGAGGAGGAGATGCAGGACATATGCAAAGGAGAGGAGAGAGGAATTGGAAGTTTGGGGACTCCAACTCGGACAACATCTGAGAATAACACTCTACTCCTAAAACTCTAACACTTAGAATTTACTGACTTTCTAACCAACACCTCCATGCAGAGAGACTACCAATCGGATGAAATATCTACTCAACTGGTAATTATACTGGTTTCATTTAATTAAATTAAATTAATTAAAATGTATTAATAGCATTATATATGACTGGATAAAGCACGGTCAGATTTCCATATTAAGAAATCTTAGTTAACTAAAGAATATATAGTTATAAACATTCCATTCTGCAGGTGGAATTAAGAATAATTATATATTGATGTGATATTATCACGTGTTAGCATACCGCTGTTTTTATCCAGGTGTATTGATTTGCTCTAAATTAAGATAGATATCTTTTAGACAAATTAAAAATCTGCTTATATAATGTGGTAAATTCTCTTATTGGATGATTTTCAAGGAAACGGCTAATGAACTGGATTAAATGTTATTTTATTTAAAAATTACATAAGAATAGATCTTAAATACCTAGGAGATCTAGCCAGCATTGAAAGGGTTATTCTAACTGTCAGCTAAACCTTACGACCTTACGCTGCACTCTGAGGAATTCTGTTCTTCGCTGTGAAAAGTTTCACTTTCAGCCTGTGTTAAAGATAGTCATAAATAATTCTTGACAGGAAATGCTATTTAGCCATTGTAACGTAATACCCATTTCTTTGTATTGCATATAATTTTGTACTGGATATTCATTGATTATTGTCATGCATGTTACATAATATTATTTGTTAATTATTGGTTATCATAAATAAAATCTATTTTTATACATTGTGATTAATTATATAAAATACATTCCACTTAACACGATAAACGTTCTTTGGGATCTGAGAATTGAATTAGTGGGCAATTCTCACTGTTACTATTATTATCCCATAAATATCCCCACAATATCTGAGAGTCAAATAGAAGCGTCAAATACTGCTGTCACATTGCAGTTTTAAAACATACCAGGATCCGCAACTTGGAACAGGATGTGACATTCACTGTAGCTGCTGTGCACGCTTTTGGCGTTCTCACCCTGCTGCTGCTCACCTGTCTGCTCTGCAGCGTAACTTCGGCCTTCCCGCTCACCGCCTCATGAGATTGTGCGAGCAATAGCAGGCGATAGTGGAGTTTCAGCTGCAGCACGCATGGGTCAGTCGCTCTGCACCAGACTTCCCTCCAACTGATCAGGGTTAAAGGATTTCAAGTGGACTCATTACAATTACAGGGCCTCTAAAGAGTCCTGTATTGTTATTTGTCGTCACTACCTTCCCGCGTCGGGAGTGGGTCATTTGCGCGCCTGCTGCCTTCCTTGCATGTGGTAGCCGTTTCTAAGGGTCCCTGTACGGAATGGAACCCTAATTCCCCATTACCCGTGGTCACCATGGTAGGCGCAGAAACTGGCATCGAAAGTTGATATGGATGACATCCGATTGGCCCGAGGTTCTCTAGAGTCAACAAAGTGCCTGCGCAACTATAATGTCAACAGCTACTCTGCAGAACAGAGTTGACTTTTTTATATGTCCCAATATTTTGGGGGCTACCCCAATTAAAATATATATATATATAAAAACAGTGTTGGCTACCTCATCCTCCTCCTCCACCGCTGCTTCCACCTACACCGCCACGGTCACCGTCTCCTCAACCTATGGGTCACTTAGTACAAATTATGTACACAATAGCAGAGGCTTGTGAAGGCCTTTTCTCCATGCATCAGGAGTTGAGCTCAGTTTGAACAATGAAAAAGAATACCCTGCACTCCAACCCTCTCTCAAATGGATAATTATGTTGATCCTCCTGACAGCCATACTTTAGATTTTGATTTATGTTCTTCCAAAGCTAAAATCAAAGATTCCATCTAGTGCTATTTTATGGCTCAGCTGTATTTAAATTTTTTATGTTATTTAAGTGATTTCCCTATCCACATTTGTTTGCAGGGCACTTGTCCTACTCTTACCCCCATTTTACTTCCTTTTGCAGCTCTCTAGCCCTTTCTTTTTTTTTAGAGGCATTTTTGTGCCCAAAAGTTCGGGTCCCCATTGACTTCAATGGGGTTCGCGGTCAAGTTCGAGCCGGAACCCGGACTTTTTTTCAAAGTTTGGCCGAACCCGCCAGACCTGAACATCCAGGTGTCTGCTCATCTCTATTAATAAGCTAAATGGAATAAAACATAATACCTGATAGTATGGGTTTAAATACGGATAGAACTGATTAAAATTGGTGCCAAAACTAACATTAAAACAAATTGCAACCTATAGTAATAGTAAGCATAGTGGTTACAGTGTTTAATATTATAATTTAATAGAATGAACAAGGTTTATATAGTAAAAAATAAACAAATAAATGAAATCATGTGACTTCCGTGATTTCGGGTGGTTATGGAAATGTAGTTTTGCATCGTCTGCACGCATATTGTGTCAGCCGACGTAAAGAACTGATGGCTGGGAGGAGTAAGTAGGCATGGACACGTGCTGACGTTGGTACACTGTATGTGATGGCTGATAAGCCTCTTGGGAAATATAGTCTTGACGTCAGCGCGCATGTAGCTACAACCGACGTCGGGAATAGGGGAGTGGAAATAACTGGCAATGATGAAGACACGCTAGAAGCGTGCCACCAATTTCTAACTATTGGCCATATTGATAAGAGAAGGATAAAGGGGTTGCAGCAGCCATATTGGAGTGGGAAAAATAAACAGTGGCCAAATAAACAGCTGGGAGGAAAGAAAGGGGCAGGATAACCAAAGAAAGTTGCATAGCAACAAATAGAATGAGACGTTATTAAAACATTATTAATAAGTAAAAGAGTAAATAGAGTAAATAAAATAGGACATCAAACACAAATATTGACATGAAAATACATAATAAATGTTGGCATATGTATAAACAGATAAATATTTACAAAAAATTAAACAAATCAAACTCTGCATTTAGAGCATGGGGTATAAGAGTCTCTAGCTTATACACCCATTCCATTACTGTTTTTCCAAGAATATTTTTTATATCCCCGCCTCTCCAGGGTATGATATTTTTTTTTTATACCTATACATTTTAACAGTTTAGGATCTTTATTGGGTTTAATAAAATGTTTGGATACTGAATAATTCAAGTATCCGTTCTTAATATTTCTGCAATGTTTTATTAATCTAATTTTTAAGCACCTTGTGGTCATTCCAACATACTGGAGGCCACAAGGGCATTCAAGCAGATAGATGGCATTCTTTGTGTCTTTATACCTTTTGAGAAAGCCTAAATTGGTGAAACGTGTAATGGTTATTTTATATTGTGTATTTTAGCTCAATTAAAGGTTTTTGGTTACTTTACTGTACTAATTCTCTTTTTATTGTATTTTTATGCACTTTTACTATTTTTACTTTCCTGGCTTTTACTGTTGTTCCTGCACTTAAAGAAATCCCAGGTGGGGTCAAACCACCAACGCCTTATTAATAGAGCAGTGTTTTCTGCTCTATGCTTGTGAGTATTATTTTATTTTTATTTTTTTACTACCCGGGGGGGTAGAGCGATATAACCAGTCTATCGTTAATATTCTGAAGAAATATGTTAAGGAGTCTGGTAAAGACTGGGACATTAAATTGCCCCTAGTTTTAATGGCGATTAGAGCTACACCTAGCACTGCTACTAAATTGTCACCTTTTGAATTGATGACAGGAAGAAAGATGGTTTTACCACAGCATTTACTATATCGTACTTCGGATCATAACTTGATCAATGCTGCCACTACGCATCAGTATATCGAAGATTTGCGCAAGCATTTACAGCATGCATTTGCTTTTGCTCAAAACAATCTAGAAAAAGCAGCGACAGGGGTTAAGACCTATTACGATCTAAAAACCACGAAAAAGGAATATGAGATAACAGACCAAGTCTATCTGTATAACTTTGCGCGAAATCAAGTAAAGGAAAAGAAATTTTTACCTTCTTGGAAAGGGCCATATGTCATCATTGACAAAATTTCCCCAGTAGCGTACAAGATAAAAATTCCTAAGGATGGTGATTTTATTGAAAAGTGGGTTCACATTAACCAGTTGCGTGCTTGTCATCCTAAATCTCAATTAAGGATTATAGGTGTGGATTCAGACGCAGAAGGGTGAACGACTAACCTGGATGAATGCTTGATTCACGTGGTATAGTATGATGTGAAATGTTGTGATGTGCCATGATCTCATGTACGTTCATGTCATTAACCATTTCCTTGCCATCCAATAACTACATTTTATAAGCAGGTTACTAGCTTGTTTAACTGCTATAGGCAAATTGCTGAAGAGTCAGTAATAAATGTAGTGAGGGATGAAGTTATAAAAATAGAATTAGACAGAATACATATGTTGATGAATCGTAATAATGTGTTGTCCTAGGCCAAGTGATGTCACACTGTTATAAGTTTGTATGCTTAACAAACCTTGAATCATTAGTAGATAAGTCTGAAACGAGTTCCTGATCCGTGACTGTCGAAGGATGTCCAAGAAGGATGTGGCGTGTTTCTGGATCGTACTGCTCCTGTGCCAAGAGCTACGGACCGACCCGATTGCAGAGATGGGACCATCCTCCGGCATCCTGATTCAAGAGACACCAGGGTTCATCTTAACAGAGAAGAGGATCCTGACCAGACGTGTGTTCGTCAGCTTGGACCCCAAGATTTCCATCGAGAAGGCATACAACATTTCATCGATGCAGCTTCCTGAGTTACAGACTTGGTACCAGATGCACCTCCAAAGAGCACAGGACCGTGTGCGAAACATCTTGGAGCAAGCCCGGAAACCATTTGTATCCAGTTCTATTCCGATGAGCAACCGACCCAAAAGGTTCCTCACCGCTATAATTGTTGCATTAGTTTGTGCCACTGTCGGTGCAGTTGTCGCAACTGGAATGTCTGCAGCCAACTCTATTACTGTCCAAAAGCTGGATATGGAAATCTATGCGCTAAAGCAACACATTAACGATATTCATCAGGTGATAAACCAGCAAAGAACACTTATCCAAGACGTGCTAACTATTGTGGAAGACACAGTTGTTACAACAAATTTGCATTCGGAGTTAATTGCCAAATCCACTGAGTTGCACCAAAGTCATGACTTATTTAAGCGTGAACTTCTATTTCTGCATGACCCAATATTGTTCCACACACTTGCTTTTCTTGACGAAGTGCAAACTGGAATGATCGAATTGGCAGGGGGACGCATACCTCTGTATTTTGTATCCAAGGATATTGTTCATGCGATGCTTGCCAATGTGGATGGAGAGACAATTGAGCCTATGCAATTAAATCTGGCCTTTGAGATGGGGAGCGCTATACCTCTCTTAATTGATCCGGAACGTATGGAGATTTGCTTTTTATTGACCATACCATATGTAACTCCCAAAGACATTTTTCAAATGAAAATAATGTACTATGTTAGAAATGATGTGATTGCACAATATGTCTGGTAACTTCTATAGTGCTTATTCATAAGCTAAATTAATTTTGGCTATGAAATGCACTAAAGGGGGTTATGTCAGAGTATTTATATCGGCAGACATTTTGTGCTATGATAGAAACTAAAAGTGTATATTCTGAGTCACTCTGAACAGACCAGACTCCATTTTGTTATTTCAAGTTAACAAAAAAGACACAAGATTTCTTTCTGTAAGACTAGCCACTTTGCCAGAGCTAAGGAATGCATAGTATAAACAAGTGATAAGAAGAATATAATCAAATCTAAACCCAGACAATTGTGACAGAGAAGATTAAATAATTTAATATTTAACTGTCTATATATATAAGGTACCATTGTATGGAAAAGGGTAAACTTAGTTCATGATCTGTCATATCAGAAATTATGGCAGGAATTGCAGACGCTAAGTCTGGACAAAATTTAAGAAACCCTTTGAAATTTTAGGTTATAGCCACTATCTAGATAGGCCAAAATGACGTCAAAATAGCCACCAGGAAAAGTTAACTCTTTCCTGGATAGGTATGTTTAGTGGGACAAGACTGCCCTCTACAGACCAAATAACTAATTTGCGATCTGGAAGATAACCACACCTCTAGTGCTTCTATTGGGTTATCAACTGATGACGTACAGAGAGTCTGGCCCTTTAAAAGTTAAGACAAAGGGAAGATAGAAAAGACGAGAAGAGGAGGAGATGCAGGACATATGCAAAGGAGAGGAGAGAGGAATTGGAAGTTTGGGGACTCCAACTCGGACAACATCTGAGAATAACACTCTACTCCTAAAACTCTAACACTTAGAATTTACTGACTTTCTAACCAACACCTCCATGCAGAGAGACTACCAATCGGATGAAATATCTACTCAACTGGTAATTATACTGGTTTCATTTAATTAAATTAAATTAATTAAAATGTATTAATAGCATTATATATGACTGGATAAAGCACGGTCAGATTTCCATATTAAGAAATCTTAGTTAACTAAGAATATATAGTTATAAACATTCCATTCTGCAGGTGGAATTAAGAATAATTATATATTGATGTGATATTATCACGTGTTAGCATACCGCTGTTTTTATCCAGGTGTATTGATTTGCTCTAAATTAAGATAGATATCTTTTAGACAAATTAAAAATCTGCTTATATAATGTGGTAAATTCTCTTATTGGAT